CCACCACTAAATGTTGAATACGACTACTCCCCCCCCCCCCCACCACTACATGTTGAATAAGACTACTTCCAACCCCACCACTACATGTCGAACACGACTACTTTCCACCTTTACATATTGAACACGACTACTTTCTATAGCTTACATTTCCTTTTGTATTGAAGCAGACAATTAAGATTTTTTTTAAAAAGAACTTGATACATCTTAACACACAAGTAACGGCCTTTTACCTTACCAAATTTTCACGATCAACTGTTTCGTTCTTCCGTTGGCCAGGTTTAAAAAAAAATCATTCGGTAACTATCTGCTTCAAGCAAACACGGCGCCTGGCGGAGGATTAGCACCCCCACACTAACCCACATTGTTCTCAAAAGTTGGAAGAGCGGATCGAATGCTAAGGCAAGCTGACACAAATCGCAGCTTTTATTTCCTTCTCTAACACAAATCTCAGCAGTTATTTTCTTCACTGAACTAAAATAAACGCAATCGTGTGTACAAAAGAAACAGTTTAGTTTTATTGGGTACTTTTTATCAAACACATCAAATTTACGTGTTTAGAAATATTTGTCAAACCGTATGATGTCATTATTTCCAGGACTCATGACGTAAAAACGAAGGAGGCTGTGTGAGTCAACAATGACTCGGTACATCAACTCAAAGAACAAGTGTAAATCTACAGGTAACTGGGCAATGGTCAGTGTATGTAATATATGTTTTCATACAATACACAAAGATATAAAAGTAAATGATACATGACAATACTGGAGTCATGTTATTCAGTTATGACTTTACTTGACTGCGGTAGCGCAAAAGGTCGTTGCTCAATAAAGCACAGAGCAGTCAAATTTTAATATCTTTGCTAAGAGAGTCATGAAAGCTGGAAAGAATTATGGGAGTTAAACACCGGAAACTCAAAGCATACACACCAGATGTACATGGGCCTCACACCAATATTTCGTGAGTTACACACCTGATATTCATAGACTACACACGTAACACACCCTATGTTCATGGACTACACACCAGTATCTCAGGAACTACACACCAGATGATCATGGACTACATACCAATATCTCAAGTAGCGAGGGGGGGGGGGGGGGGGCGGGGGGGGGCGGGGGGTACATGTATCCCCGGGCGCCGACCCTAGGGGGCGCCAATATGGGCTGAAAAAAGCTCATTTTAGCTGCAGTTTTGCATTATAAATATCACAAATATATTGGGGGGGGGGGGTGGAGTCGCTAAATTGAACGTTTGTCCCGGGGGGGGGGGGGGGGGGGGGGCGCCAAATTGAAAGTTTGTCCCCGGGCTCCGGGAAGGGTCGCTACGCCTCTACACGAACTACACAAGATGGTCGTGGACTACACACCAGATGGTCATTGACTTTATATAAAGAAGTCACGGACATTACACCACTAAGTCCTTATGAAGACCATACAAGGCGGTCCACCACGAGGTGTGCCCACGTGACCAGCCAAGTTCCTACTTCCGGTCTGTGTACCGTAAATCCCGGCGACATCAGAACACCTGTACTGGCTGACCTAGGGGAGACCACAGGTCAACGTCCGCCTCTGTTGACCTTAGAGCCAGTCTTGCTGTGTGGCCTTCAGGTAAACAGCGATTCAACCTACTGACCTTGACCCCTCTCGTGCTACCAAAAATAGTTACTCGCCTTTTTTAAAATCACGTGATGAAAACTTTTTTAATGGGGATGGACGGCAGCTATAGATGATTCAGTATTTAGTATGAGCAGAGTTTCTTCCAGTGTCCGCCCCCTGAAGAAAGTCTAGCGCCCCCCCCCCCCCGAAAATTTCAAGTGCCCCCCCCCCCCCCCCCCGGAGAAAAAAAGTCTGGAAGAAACACTGAGTATGAGATTAGTCAATGTCATATGAAGTACTTAATGCCGTAATTCCATCTATTAGTAGCGTAACAACATAAACATTTTTTTAATACACCAAATAAATTATATCTACCACGATTGCAATGTTTTCAAATACCTCTCCCTATCTTACACGCGCTAGGCCTCACTGGATATCACGGGATATCATGGGATAGATGATTTTAAATTTTGTAACCCAGTCCAACATTTTCACCAACATTCAGTACGATAAAAAGCCAAGGTCATCTTGACCTTGTACGGTGTAGACCCACTTCCGGTCCAGCACCTGGTCGGCAGACTAACACCGGAACCACTAGAACCCGTTTCGGGTTGCGTTGGAACAGGGGGTGAGGGGGGGGGGGGGTAGGACTTCGGCTCTGATACCCGAGGGGATTCGTTTAGCCGGTTTTAGGTTGAAGTTACCCCTCGGCAGGTAGGTAGATCCTGCGAACCAGGTGAGAAGGTGTCTGTTGGACCAGGTAAGATGGACCTGTGAACTGGGGTAACTGGTCCAGTAAGGGAAGGGGGGGGGGGTTAAAAGAGATCTGATGAAGAGATGGGGCGGGGGTGATAGATTAGAATACGGAGGGGGGGGGGGTGGGTAAATAAATTTGGGGAGGTTAAATGATTATGACTTTTTGACTAGGTAACTAGTAGATTAAGTTTTTTTATGATAAAGTAACTAGATTAGGATTTTTTTTTGTGATGTGCTGATTAGTCTGCATGAAGTTTGGGATGTGCTGACTAGGCAACTAGTAGTTGCTTATGAAGAGATAGTAATAGTGTTAAGCACCATGCTCAGCCGAAATGGGTGTTTTTAGAAGACAAAAACATGTAGGTAGTGGTGTGACGTATTTATAGATGGGGGGAAGGGGCTTTAGTGACGATGTGTGACAAATAAAAATCGTCTAACAAGCGTGACGTTATTTATGAATGACCCATTAAAAAATACCTAATGGGTAGTCTAGTTATTTAAAAGAAAAAAATGTAAAATTATCTATTAATGTTCAGATTATGAAACATTAATTGACAAAACTGTTAATAAATATCGAAAAATGTTCGTACCAATTACAAATAAACCGGGAGTGATCTCCCCTAAACTTTCTCGAATATTTTTATATAAAATAACAGGGGATGGGAACTCGGGCTATAGACATGATTTTTAATCCATATTTAATACTTAAAGTTTTAAAAATAGAATAAAATCTCTTAGACAAATTAATTGCACACCAAGTGAACGCGAAATAAAAAAGCGCATAATAGTGCGCAATATTATTAGTACTTTTAAAATTTACATTAGTTTTTTGAGAAATCGAAAGTAGCGTAAATTACTACTTCCGGTCAACGGAAATTACTCAAAATTTAACAGAAGGTAGAGAATTAGATCTTTTACTTACATGTGAAATTTCATTTATCTATCTGAAGTAGAAAAAGTACCACTTCCGGTTATCGGAAATCGCTCAAAAGTTGATACGGATCTACGATTTTGATAAAATACTTATATATGAAATTTCATCAACCTAGCAGTAACGGTACTCAAGTTATCGTGTTTACACACGGACACACAGACAGACAGACACACACACACACACACAGACATACGGACAAGATTGCAAAATTATGTTTTTCCGTATTAGTGAGGTGTAAAACGTCGAGATTTGTAAAAATCTCGATTTTTTTTTTTGCACGATTACAATACTTTCTCTATACTACGTATATACGAGAAAGTAAAAAACAAAAAAAAAAACACATATAGTAAAAGAAATAATGTGTAGTTCGTGTTAAATGGGCTACATTTTTTAAACCACTTAAAAGCGTGGATGCTACAAAACAACGTTTCCTGCCACGACGAGAATTAATTAGGAAAATAAAAGAAAACCAAATGAAATAATCTACTAAAAGATATCTTGACAAGTAACTCCCCGGATGAATAGGTCGTGCTAATGTACGAGCGTACGGACACAAGGGGGTTAAAGTTCAAGGTCCTGTGTGTTTTTTTTTTTTTTTTTTTTTTTTTTTTTTTTTTTTTTGTGTAACCTGCCTTAGCAGGGAGACTAGGTGATACCACCGACAGACTTGACTTTTCCGGCATAGGGGTCTGTTGCGTGAAACAATGGGCGCGATGTTCGAATGGGGAAACAATAAGGACGGACTCAGACATTTACGTTACGCTGGTTGTTTTTTTTTTTTTTTTTTTTTTTAACTGGCTGTGTGTACAGAAGGTAGATTTTATTTCTGTCGTGGGATCCCGACAAAAGAACACAATGCCGACATCCAAAAGGCCCGATTTAGGTCACTAGGTGAATTTTGTTAATTAGAAATAAAAGGCCGGCATAGATAAAAGGCCGACATTGACAAAAGGCCGACATGGACAAAAGGCCGTCTGGACACGAGGCCGACGTGACTAAAGCCCGACATCTAATTGGTCGATAAATGAATGTTTGTTAATTAAAATTAAAAGACCGATACAGATAAAATGCCGACATGCACAAAGGCCGTTTGGACTCGAGGCTAACGTGGGTAAAGGCCCATTATTCAAAATGCCGACAGGACAAAAAGCCAACAAGTATAGTATACGCTTTTCATCAGGCTTTAAAGCTAATTACTAATTAGTTAAATAAAAACAACCAAACACCGAAAACTACATCTGCTCTATTGATCCCCAAGTTGTAGAAATACAACACAACTTTCATTTCTTGACGTAAGATGTAAACAAAAAAAAAAAATACAAAAAAAAAACCCCCAAAAAAAACAACAACAGAACAAAAAAAAAACTGTCAGTCATACATCGCCTAGAAAACATATACCATACGCGCGATAGGGAACATACATACGGCAGAAGGAAAGTGTTTTATATAAAACACGGCGTTCATCAAAATGATTTATATGTGAAAGGTCACGTCCCTTTCACGTAGAAGAAACAAGCCATTTAAATTTTCCCCAATTTGTCAATGTGGCTCTAGTTTCTTTTAGCTCTTAGCAAGGTTTTTTTTTCTTTTTTTTTTTTTTTTTTTAAACAATAGGAAAGGGGAGAGAAATGGCGATAAAGTAAACACGACGCAGCATACAACAAATTGGTGTGTGTAAACATGAGGGGGGAAAATGTAATTAAAAGAGAACTTACCTGGAGGTGCTAGAAGGACGAGTCCCAGAATGTAGTGAGGTAGAACCACAGCGGCACCGACGAGAGCGTGGAGCCGCATTGTGAATACACGGCCTGAATGTGACGGGGGACAGAGGGAGACTAATCACTTTTGGAGCGCGAGATTATATTTTGTACCTCCATCGTTGAGTTTTTTTTTTAAATTTTTTTTTTAAAAAGCTGAATTGTCGAAAATAAATCACAGTGGCACAGCTGAAAAGAAAATAAATAAATCGGATTTTAATTATTTTTTTTTTATTTTATAAAAAGATGAGCAAATTCGTCAGGGGATTTAACTCCGTAAAAAAAATTAACAGAGTCGCGTCCCTTGTGTATACAACTACATCACTGATTTATTGTTTACTAAACGTCGCGATTAAAATTTAAAAACTGAAACGCACAGTAAATGAAACAAAGTTTGAACTGTTTCAACCGTCTGTCCTGGTTCAACCTTGACTACATTTATATGCAGACGGCGGAGGTTGAAAAGAAAACACGGGGCCTTGAACGAGCAGGCGTCAAATGAGAACAGCCGTTGGCCTACTGACATGAATCCGTGGTGTGGGGTGGGGGAGTGGGGGGAGGGGGGACTGACCCGGTCTTAGCCCCAGATCAAACATCAAAGTTCAGCGCCGCACAGTTCAAAATGAAGCCGTCGGTTGAAATGATTTTTTTTTAAATGTAAAGTTACACATTTCAGTTGAAAACTGCACATTATTTGTGAGATGAATCATCGTGAAGAGTTCATAAAAATTTGAAGTGAAATTCAAAATTAATTTATAATCAAATTTAACGCTAAACCGACTGTTTAAAACTTCGCATTATTTGTGATTCGTAAAAATGTATCGTTTAATTCGACTTTAATTTATTTTTTTTAAATTTAGATTTACATACGGGCTGGCTTTTTTCAATTTTCGCATTGGGCCTACTTGAGAAAATTATTTAAAAAAAAAAATTTTAAATCTAATATTCAATGTTTTTTTTTATTTTTTTTTTTAAATAACGCACAGACTAATAGTCACGCACAGACTAATAGCTACGCACAGAATGATATCTACGCACAAACTGATATCTTCGCACAAACTGATATCTACGCACAAACTGATATCTACGCACAGACTGATATCTACGCACAAACTGATATCTACGAACAAACTGATATCTACGCACAGACTGAATCTATTTAAAAAATTAACATTAATTTTTTTAATGCAACAAAACACACACAAAAATTAATTCATCATTGTTCAATATTCACAGCCACAAATCAACTAAATTTCTCTGAAAGCTCCTTCCTCTGTACTCTGGAACCCATCTTTTAAAGATGTTCCCAGAGACCAGAGACCCGACCATGAGGAATCTATCTCTGGAATCAGCGTGCCGTATTTCGCCATCTGCTTACATAAGAAATTTATTTCTTCACTTTTAGAAAAGGGCAGGGTAAAATTGGCATGGGGAGAGGAGTTAAGCAATCCATTCAAGAGAGAAGGGGAGAGGAGTTAAGCAATCCATTCAAGAGAGAAGGGGAGAGGAGTTAAGCAATCCATTCAAGAGAGAAGAGGAGCGGAGTTAAGCAATCCATTCAAGAGAGAAGAGGAGCGGAGTTAAGCAATCCATTCAAGAGAGAAATGCTGAACGCGCCGTGCTATGACGTAGCAGCGACACCTGGAGATTAAACCTGTTTATGAAACAGAGGTGATTTTTGTGTGTCTTGGTGGGGGGTGTCTAGGCGTCGGGGTGTTAAGGATATTGGCGGGGGTGTGTGTGTTTGGAGGACATCAGCGGAGTGTCCCCGTTTATTGAGGACAGGACCTTGACGAGGTGTCCTACATCAAATCGATACTAACGTGGTGGTCCTAAAATACAGGTCGTCTAGGGAGCTACTAGCTGCTACTACACTTACTAGACTTACTGCGGTAGTAACGTCACTGTAACATTGATACGTTGACTGACTTTACACAAACCTAAACTTGAAAATGGTTAGTTCACGGATACTTCCTGGTCTGACTCTGTGTTTCTTTCAGTGTCCCCCCCCCCCCCCCCCCCCCCCACAAGCACATCCTACCACCCCCCCCCCCCCTCCCAAACGAAATCGAGTATAAATAGAAAATATATACTTTAACCAAGGTCTACCCCCCTCCTCCACGTAGATTGCAAGTGCCCCCCCCCCCCGGAGAAAAAAAACCTGAAAGAAACACTAGTCTAACCTTTACACTAACCTAACTTTAACAGGGTTAGTTGAAAGTTACTGACTGGTCTAACCTTAACACAAAACTAACTCCAACGAGCTAAGTTGACGGCGACTGACTGGTCTAACCTTTACACTAACCTAACCATACCAGGCTAAACCGGCGACTACTCTGCAATACTTGGCCCCTAAAAGCCAAGGGAACAAACAGCACATGAATGAAACCTGCGCACTCAGCAGTCCGTGACCGTACGGGGCACGTGATCCGGGTTAGTTTGATTTCGGCTGTAATCTGGTAAACACACGGCGATGGTACGGTGGTAGCAGAGACACCAGCCACCGCCACACGATTTTAGCACTATAGAAAACATCAGCCACATGATTTTAGCACTGTAGAAAACATCAGCCACACGATTTTAGAACTACAGAAAACATCAGCCACACGATTTTAGCACTATAGAAAACATCAGCCACACGATTTTAGCACTATAGAAAACATCAGCCACACGATTTTAGCACTATAGAAAACATCAGCCACACGATTTTAGCACTATAGAAAACATCAGCCACACGATTTTAGCACTATAGAAAACATCAGCCACACGATTTTAGCACTATAGAAAACATCAGCCACACGATTTTAGCACTATAGAAAACATCAACCACAGCCACACGATTTTAGCACTATAGAAAACATCAGCCACACGATTTTAGCACTATAGAAAACAGCCACAGCCACACGATTTTAGCACTATAGAGAACATCAGCCACACGATTTTAGCACTATAGAAAACATTAGCCACACGATTTTAGCACTATAGAAAACATCAGCCACACGATTTTAGCACTATAGAAAACATCAACCACACGATTTTAGCACTATAGAAAACATCAGCCACACGATTTTAGCACTATAGAAAACATCAGCCACACGATTTTAGAACTACAGAAAACATCAGCCACACGATTTTAGCACTATAGAAAACATCAGCCACACGATTTTAGCACTATAGAAAACATCAGCCACACGATTTTAGCACTATAGAAAACATCAGCCACACGATTTTAGCACTATAGAAAACATCAGCCACACGATTTTAGCACTATAGAAAACATCAACCACAGCCACACGATTTTAGCACTATAGAAAACATCAGCCACACGATTTTAGCACTATAGAAAACAGCCACAGCCACACGATTTTAGCACTATAGAGAACATCAGCCACACGATTTTAGCACTATAGAAAACATTAGCCACACGATTTTAGCACTATAGAAAACATCAGCCACACGATTTTAGCACTATAGAAAACATCAACCACACGATTTTAGCACTATAGAAAACATCAGCCACACGATTTTAGCACTATAGAAAACATCAGCCACACGATTTTAGCACTATAGAAAACATCAGCCACACGGTTTTAGCACTATAGAAAACATCAGCCACACGATTTTAGCACTATAGAAAACATCAGCCACACGATTTTAGCACTATAGAAAACATCAGCCACACGCTTTTAGCACTATAGAAAACATCAGCCACACGATTTTAGCACTATAGAAAACATCAGCCACACGATTTTAGCACTATAGAAAACATTAGCCACACGATTTTAGCACTATAGAAAACACCGGTCACCCTATATGCATATATATATATATATATATATATATATATATATATATATATATATATATATATATATATATATATATATATATATATATATATATATATATATATATATATACACACATGTATATGGACCATAATCTAGTGTCACAGAATGTAAACGAAATCTGCTACCTACACAAGTCCACAGAAACCATTAGATTGGCGATAGAGCAAACACAATAACCAGATATCATCTCCGTCCCCGTGCCTTTAGTCGGGGCTTTACTAGTAGCTATAGCGGCTTACGCTCCGCTGATAACATAACCCCACGTCGAATTCGTAGAGGTTAAAGGTTAAGTCTCCTAGGGGTCGCTGCACGGTCTGTTTATTTTAACACTAGAACTGTCGCCGGTTTGGTCTCGATATTTTAAGTTATTTATTTATTTTTTCATTTAAAGAATTAGTAATTAAAATTATTAAAAAAAAACGCACCGGTATTTCTAAGTGTCAAAAATCACCAAAACAAATTTTGTGTCCGTAGTTTGGTAACGTAAGCTCTTGTGTGTATGAGGGTTAAGAAACAGCCTGCCTAACACCTATGGGCGATTTGGTGAAACCACGGTACTCCATAGAGCGCTAGTGTTCCCTGCTGGCTTTTTATACCTTCTGCTGTACCGCGTGGCCCCTCAGGTCTAGGCCAGGGGACAACGAGATGAGCAGACGATAAGGATGGTGGGGGTTGTAGGTGGGGGGTGGAGGGTAGGGGGATGATTAAGATAAGAGGGTGGATGTGACGTGCGACCAGGTATAAGCTGCACCTTTAGAGAGCAGCGTTCAGCCGGTGAGGAGAAAGATTGGAAGAAAAGAAAAAAAGGTAGAGGTGGTTAAAAAAATAATTTTAAAAAAATTGTGTTGATAAAATTGAAGGGGTGGGGGGCTGACTGGACCAGGTAAAGGGGGGGGTGGTGGTGGGGGGGGGGCTCAGCTGTATGTGGCTAGTAGTGTATTCCTACGGTTGTGTGTGGTGGTGGGGTCAGATGTATTGCTAAAGTTGTTGGAGGGAGGGAGGAATGTATATATGGCTAGTTGTGTATTGCGAGGTGTGTGTGTGTGTGTGTTTGGGCAGAGGTCATGTGTTTATTGCTAGTGGTATATTTCTAAGGTTGGGGGGGGGGGGGGGGCGGTGTTAGGTGTATGGCTAGTAGTGTATTGCTAATTGGGAGGGGGTCAGTGGTATGACTAGTAGTGTATTGATAAGATTGTGAGGGGGTCAGGGGTATGGCTAGTAGTGTATGCCAAGATTGTGGAGGGTGGGGTCAGGGGTATGGTTAGTAGTGTATTGCTAATTGTGAGGGGGTCAGGGGTATGGTTAGTAGTGTATGCCAAGATTGTGGGGGGTGGGGTCAGGGGTATGGTTAGTAGTGTATGCCAAGATTGTGGGGGGTGGGGTCAGGGGTATGGTTAGTAGTGTATGCCAAGATTGTGGGGGGTGGGGTCAGGGGTATGGTTAGTAGTGTATTGCTAATTGTGAGGGGGTCAGGGGTATGGCTTCCCCCTTCTAACGGGATGTGTGTTTCAGTACGTATGGAACTTGCCCATTCTCTCTCTCGCTCTCTCTACTTTAAGAACAGAGTACACTAACAG